TTCTTTTCTTTTCTCCTGATTGTTGGGTGCTATATATACTATAAACACTACCAATTCTAGTTGTTTAAAGAAAAAGTACACTTCTATGAGGTATCTGTTGTGTTTTCTAATCTGTCCTATATACCTTGCCCATTTATCACTTACTATTATACCTACTCCAGATCCTTTGTTTTTCCCTTCTTCTGTGTTAGACCAAAAACTATTTAAGCTACTTCTTTGTTTAACTATAAATTGCCCTTTTCTGCTCATGATATTTGTTTCTACTATTTCTATAATATCGTATTCATTCTTTTCTATTCTTTCAACTATCGCCTCTATTTTGTGTCTATTACCCTTTAACCCATTGATATTATGAACTGCTATTTTAATTTCTCTTCTCGTTTCCATTGTTTCTAATTCTTTTTTAACTCCTTTTGTTCTTTCTCTTTCTTGGTTTAAACTCTGTTTGCCTTATGTTGACATACAAGTTTTCCTTCTTGTATGACTAAGACTTTCTTTAATTTAACTAGTGCAACAATTTAGGAGCGATTTGGAGACTTTAGCTCCAAAAAAGTCGAACTTTTCTTCTAATCTTTGGGTAAGTTGTATTATATAGTTTAGAGGCGTATCCTCACTTAACCAGAAGTTTGATCTATCTCTTCTTGAAATTGCGTTATATCTATTTCACTTTCTAAGATTAGTTTCCTTTTTTTATTCATAAAGATCTCCTTCTTTCTCACTTATATTTCTCTTGCTCATACTGTATGTTTTCCATTCATTTCTTTGTATATTCTCTGGTAATGAGATCTTTGCTTCTTTCTTGTCATCTTCTCTATATTTGTTTTCTGTTTTTACATATTTTGAGCACTCTCCGTCCTGTTCTTGTTCGTACTCTCTTCTTTTCTATAAACTTTTCTCACTTCTCCTTTGTACTATTACCTGTTCTTCTATTTTTGTATTACTTGTTGTTTCTGTTTCTTGCTTTCTTATTTCTGACTATCGTAGTTTGTTGTTATAGTAATACATTAAGAACTTTAGACTATTTACTCTGTCCTTTTCTTCTTTAAAATAGACTGTTGCACTTCCCATCTTGTTATTATTTGAGTTTTTAAATATATAAAGTACCTTCGCTCCTGTTTTCTTAACTTATCTCCATAGGAGTACTTCATTTGTATTCTCAGATAAGTCTAGTGATCTTAGACTATATTTGCTTCTTTCGTAGAGCATGTTCTGGTTATTAGTGCCTAGTGTTATTCTTACTAGAAGTTGATCCATAAATGGTAAGCACCATGTTTCTTCTATTTTCTTCTCATCGTACGTTCCTGATTTGAATTTGACTTCTGCTCTTGTCTTATCATATATAGTTTTTATTATTTCTATATGCTCAACCCTTCCCATGAAGCGTACTGTTTCAAATACTTGAGTTCTTTTTGTCCAAGTTGGGAGATCCCAAATTGTTATCTTGTTACTGTTTTCTTTTAATTGTAGTACTCCTTCATTGTCTTGTTTTGATATATTTTTGTCTTTTCTTAAGGGTTCTTGCTGTTTAATTATTTTCTTTCTTTTTTCTTCTCTTTGTTTGAAAATTTCTTCTAATTCTTTTGCTACTTAGTTTTCTCTTTTAATTCTTCCTTTAAAATCTTCATCTTCTTTCTTATAACTTTCTTGTATTGGTTTGTTTGTTTTTTCTTCTACCTCTTCTTCTACTATAAATTTAGCTCGCTCGTATTCCTCTTTTTTGTTTTCTAGTATAAATCTTGCTTCTTCATAAC